GGGTGAGGGCGCATTCTTCACTAGGAGGAGAGAGATTTTTTGGCCCCTTTAGAAAATTTCTGTTGCAATGCAGAAATCTGCCGGTGTTGGCTCTTGTCATCTTCCAGCTTACTTTTCACTTATCATATCCTTCAGTACCCCAACTGGGTTGTCTTTTCTCTGTCTTTACCATCAGTTTTTGAGTCAGTGATGTTCCTGAAAATGATCAGTGTGATTCCTCAACCATGAGGTGAACAACACTGTCAGTCGTAGAATCATAGAATGTCTCAAGTTGGAAGAGACCTATTAGGATCCAGTAAAAATCCCTGCTCCTCCCAGGACTACAAAGCTATATGGCTAAGAGTGTGGTCCAGATGCTCATTAAACTCTGACAGGCTTGGTGCTGTGACCACTTCCCTGTGGAGCCTGTTCCAATAAGCAACAAATCTCTCAGTGAAAAGCCTTTTCTTATGTCCAATCTGAACTTCATAGAATCATAGAATGTTTTGGGTTGGAAGGTACCTTAAAGATGATCTAGTTCCAATGCCCTTGCCATCCGCAGAGACCACTCCAACTAGGCCAGACTGCTCAAAGCCACATCCAACACTTCCAGGGAGGGGGCATCCACAACTTCCCTGGGCAACCTGTGCCAGTGCCTCACCACCCTCATAGTGAATAATTTTTTTCCTAATGTCTAATCTAAATCTATCCATTAGCCCTTGTCCTATCACTATATGCCCTTGTATAAAGTTCCTCCCAAACTTTCTTGTAGCCCTCTTGAGGGAAGGAAATGCTGCTGTAAATTCTCCCTGGATCTTCTCTTCTCGAGGCTAAAACGCCCCAACTCTCTCAGCCTGTCTTCATAGGGGAGGTGGTCCAGCCCTCTGATCATCTACATGGCCCTCCTTGGGATCCGCTCCAGCAGCTCCATGGCCTTCTCTTGTTGAGAACTCCAAAACTGGACACAGTACTGCAGGTAGGGTCTCAGAAGAGCAGAGTAGAGGGGCAGAATCACCTCCCTTGACAAGCTGGCCACACTTCTTCTGATGTAGCCCAAGATAAAATTGGCTTTTTGAGCTACAAGTGCACATTGTTGCCTCATGTTGAGTCACCATCCCTGGATGTATTTAAAGAGCGGGTAGATGAGGTACTTAAGGATATGGTTTAGGGGGTAGACAGGAACGGTTGGACATGATGATCTCAGAGGTCTTTTCCAACCAAGCAATTCTGTGATTCTGTGATTCTCATCAACCGGCACCCCCAAGTCCTTTTCCTCAAGGCTGTTCTCAATACATTCTCTGTCCAGCCTGTATTTGTGCTTGGGATTGCCCCAACTCAGGTGCAGGACCTTGCACTTGGCCTTGTTGAACTTGATAATGTTGGCACAGTCCCACCTCTTGAACCTGTCAAGGTCCCTCTCACATCCTTAAGCCTAACCAAATAAGCAACATTTTTCATTTAATAAAAATAGTATATAGTTATTTCAAAAAATGCTACAGCAATCTCCTTTTGTTTTCTTTTCCTTTTTTTTCCTAAGAATTCATCAAAATAAGTGGAAAGAATGTAGTCTTAGTCTACCAAATAAATTTATACTTCTCACTGCAAGATTAATAGCAAATCCATATAATTGCTATTTTTCCTCATGCATTCTTAAAAATGTAAGTGTAAAAATGTATTGTTGTTTAATATACATTTAAGCATGAACATGAACTATGTATATGAACTTCAAAAGTAATCAATGCTAGAATAAATAAATAAAGCATGCTAATCACTGTTCATATGCAGAGGTCTCTACTTTATTACCTAGACATAAATTATAATTACAGAACAAAGCAGCACAGAGATTTACATCTTATGTGTGCCTCAAGTCACATCTTATTCTTGGGATCCTCATTCCTCCTCTTCTATCTTCTTATGAAACTCCCGGCTTTTCACTCGGAGCTTGTTGACCTGCGACTCTGCAATGTCAGCCCGCTCCTCGGCTTCCTCCAGCTCATGCTGGATCTTGCGGAACTTGGAGAGGTTGACATTGGACAGCTCCTCCTGTGCGGGGAGAGTGAGATGTGAAAACATGGCACATTGTGTGGACATTTAACATCTGAAAACTGGGCGAACAAACATTTAAATGCCAAAGCTGGACAAGCAGAGCAGGTTCAAAACCAAGGTAATAAGCTGCTCAAGTGTGCCAGAAGAGAAAAGAATATCAGAGTGTCTAAAGGGCCATGGCAACATTACACACAGTACAGTCTAGGCAGAGTTCATGGCAGAGTACTGAACAGATTAGCAGCTGCTTCTGACGCTCAGAGTAGTGTAGGAAAGAAGAAACAGAGGTGCGTAATGAGGCTTAGAGAAAAAAAGAGCTGGGGAAGTATAGTTCCTCTCAGGACTGGTAATTCTTACTCTTACATTTCCCATTGTCTTCGAGCAGCAAACGCTTCAAAACAGTCAACGTTTCAAAAAATTGGACAGAAGAAAAGAGCAACACAGAATTCCATCACACCTTGGTCAGGGTGGTACTTACAGCCTCCTCAGCTTGCCTCTTGTAGGACTTCACTTTCATTTGCAGCTTGTCTACTAGATCTTGGAGCCTGAGAACATTCTTCCGGTCCTCCTCAGACTACAAAGAATGGCAAATAATAGAAACTTTTGTTTGCTTCTTCACTATATTTCATAAATGTGAAACAGAGGCAGTAACATTCCTTACGAAGCATTGCTATTCAGAAGGACAGAGGTAAAAATCCTGTTAATGGTGTCATTGACAGAACAGTCAGGGCATAGAAAGAAATCCCTCTGGAAGGCAATGTGCCAACATTTTGTCTTCCTGGAAGCCAACACAAATAAGCCTCCTGCCTTACCTGGTAGGTCAGCTCCTTCACCCTTCTCTCGTACTTGCGCACACCCTTCACAGCTTCAGCGCTGCGCTTCTGCTCAGTATCAACCTCCCCTTCCAGCTCCCGCACCTGCAATGACAAGCCCAGCTTTGGAGCTTCCCTGGTATCTCTCCAAAGGACTTGCTTACGTGTGCACAAATACCAGCCCTACGCACTCTGGCCTCCAGCTTCTGGATTTGCTTCTTGCCTCCCTTCAGAGCCAACTGCTCAGCCTCATCCAGACGGTGCTGCAGGTCCTTCACTGTCTGGTCCAGGTTCTTCTTCATCCTCTCCAGGTGAGCACTGGTGTCCTGCTCCTTCTTCAGCTCTTCTGCCATCATGGCCGCCTGAAGAGAGCAAAGGGTCAAAGCCATATTGGTGCTGGAGATATTTTGGGGAAGAACACAACCACCATGAGCAGTGCAATGAGTCCCCGACTCACATCTGTGATGGCCTTCTTGGCTTTCTCTTCAGCATTGCGGGCTTCCTGGATTGTGTCCTCCATTTCACTCTGAATTTGGGAAATATCTGTTTCCAGCTTCTTCTTGGTGTTGATCAAGCTGGTGTTCTGTTGAAGAACATCAACATCACAATTTTGTTTTCGGTAGCTTGCAAAATCATATCAAGAACATTGCATAAATGTTTTTAAAAATAAATTGTGCCATCAGGTCATGTGGGATTCTGTTTTAAAGGAGCTGCTGTGCTAACTGTTAGTTTCTGAGCTGGGATGTGCTTAGGTATTTCAAAAGCATCCTTCATAAAGTCATAAAGTGTTTCCTCACAGTTTCTCAGTCAGCAGAGAATGAATTTTGACTTCTAAGGAAAAAAAACCCTTTTTGATCTCGAGGCAGTAAAATTTTTTAAATGGTGTTAAAGATTGCTTATAATTACATTCTTAAATAATGTTAATGACAGTATTAGTGCATTCCTATTGTGTTAATGACCAACTTAAGTCTGACTTTATTCTCAAATGTGTAAGTGAAATCTGTTGAACTCACTTAAGTTGTAAAGTAAGAACCTCACATGTCTGATAACCTTGTACAATGGCATAACTGCATGGATAGATGAGAGGAGAGCAGTGGATGTGGTCTACCTTGATGTCAGCAAGGTTTTTGACACCGTCTCCCATGGCATCCTCACAGCCAAACTTAAGAAGTATGGATTGGATAATTGGATAATAAGGTAGATTGGGAACTGGCTGAAGGGCAGAAGTCAGTGTGTTGTGGTCAGTGGGGCAGAGTCTAGTTGGAGGTCCATATCTAGTGGTGTTCCTCAGCAGTCGGTACTGGGTCCAGACCTGTTCAATGTACTTATGAGTGACCTGGATGAAGGGACAGAGTGTACTCTCAGCAGGTTTGCTGATGATACAAAGCTGGGAGGAGTGGCTGACACACCACAAGGCTGTGCTGCCATTCAGAGTGACTTGGACAGGCTGGAAACTTGGATGGGGAGAAACTTAAGGAAATTCAACTAGGACAAGAGTACTGCATGTGGGGAAGAACAACTCTATGTATCAGTACAGGATGGTGGAGAGCAGTTCGGTGTAAATGAGACCTGGGGATCCTGGTGGACAGCAGGCTGACCATGAGCCAGCGATGTGCTCTCACAGCCAAGAAGGCCAATGACATCCTGGGGTGCATTAAGAAGAGTGTGGTCAGTCAGTTGAGGGAGGTTATTGTCTCCCTCTACTCTGCCCTAGTGAGGCCACATCTGGAACACTGTGTCCGATTTTGGATTTCTCATTTCATGAAGAATGAGAAACAGCTGGACAGAGTCCAGCATAGATCCTCTAAGAAGAGGGGACTGGGGCATCTCCCATATGAGGAAAGGCTGAGAGAGCTGGGTCTGTTTAGCCTGGACAATAGGAGACTGAGGGGAGATCTCATTAATGATTATAAATGGCTGGGTGTCAGGAGGATGGGACCAGACTCTTCTCAGTTGTGCCGAGCAACAGGAGAAGGAGTAATGGTCACAAACTGGAACACAGGAGGTTCAACCTAAACAACAGGAAAAACCTCTTTACTGTTATGGGGGGAGGTTGAACTACATGATCTTCAGAGGTCCCTTCCAACCCTTACCATTCTGTGATTCTGTGATCTCTCTGAATTTACTACTTTTAAGGAATCTGCATTGTTATCTAGTGAAATTCATATTATATCTGCAGCTGAAATGCCACTTATAGTATTTGTTATCCATACTGTGAAAATTGCAATGCATTTTTCAAAATACTGTTGGAGTTCAGCCAGTCTTCAGTTATTTTATATGTATGGAGCAAAAGTATAAATAATAAATATATTTATGCACTGACCTGGGTATGGAGGAGCTGCACACGCTCACTTGCATCCAGAAGCTCCTGCTCAGCCACTTTCCTTGACCGCTCTGTCTGCTCCAAGGCTGCCCTCAGTTCCTCAACTTCAGACTGCAAGAGGTTTGCTCTGCGCTCCACCATGGCCACTTGCTCCTTCAGGTCCTCCTGTGTCCTGAGAGCATCGTCCAAATGTATCTGGGTATCCTGGTAAGAAATACAGGACAGATTGTGAGGGGTATTTGTCGTATTTTCTCATTTCCTATTTTTATGTAAACATAAAACTGATAAGATGATAACATCAGAAAAAATTTAGCTGTGTCAGAAACCAGTGAGCACATGTTTAGTTGTGCCATACCTTGAGCACTGCTTGTGCATTTCTCAGATTCTTTTGTGCCTCTGCAGCCTGGCGGTTGGCATGGCTCAGCTGGATCTCCATTTCATTCAAGTCTCCCTCCCTCTTCTTCTTCAGAAAAAAATTCCTGCTCCTGATCTCAGCATCCAGGGTGCTCTGCATGGACTCCACAATTCTGAGGTGGTTTCTCTTCAGCTGGTCGATCTCCTCATCTTTCTCTGCTATCTTCCTGTCAATCTCAGACTTCACCTGGTTGAGCTCAAGTTGGAGGCGCAGGATCTTCCCCTCTTCATGCTCAAGAGAAGCCTGAAAAAAATATAAATTCAGTTAATTGTATAAATAACAATGTCGGTAACTTTACATAAACAATTCTCTTGAAAAGTAATATACAACTTGAGGTCTGAGATAGCAGAGAACAAAGAAAAAGAATTCCTGTGGATCCAAAGACTTTAATGGTGTCCAAAATCCCCTGCTTCTTGTGTCAAGATTTTATCTCAAAGCATATAACTTCACAAATAGTATCTGAGGTTGCTAAACAGTGTTGTAAGTAGACAATTACAAAAAGAAGGCCCCACCTCAGCTTCCTCCAATGATGCTTGCAGCTCAGATTTCTCCTGCTCAACCTGCTTCTTGATTTTCTCCAGCTCATGAATCGCCTTTCCTCCCTCCGCAATCTGCTCCGTGAGGTCGGAAATCTCCTCTGTGGGAACAAAGACCAGTGACATGGTCAGGGACAGAGCTGAATGGGAAGGGCCCAACCACAC